GCGGCTAGTCAGGCTCTGTGTAGAGACAGTTAATGCAGCACTCGACTCGGTTTCACTTTGCTCCGGCGCCGTCAACTCCGAGACAGTAGTTAGGTGATCTGACTTCGCATCCACTAATGCTTCCTCCTGTACAACTTCCTCCTCCACAGAATTAGAGAGCGGAGTTGAACTACCAGTTGTTGGCGTCGTCAAAGGAAGCAAGGGTATGGAGAGCAGAGAACTAGGGCCCCCTTCCGAGACTTGGTCAGCTGCTGTTGTTGTTTGAATGATGTCGTCCGCGTTTGCTTCTGTTGTGCCGGCAGTGGGCAAAGAAGGTTCTTCGACAGCGGGAGTGGTTTGAAGTACAATTTCTTGCGTCACATCCAACGGTGGGTCGTTAATAATGCCTTCAATTATGCTAGGGGGACTCTCCGAGGTGGCAGAGACCACTCCTTCGCCTCCGGTTAGCTCTGGACTGGTGGCATCTTCTACCACATTGACCGCCAATTCAACTACGCGAAATTCTTCCGAAGAGATGGTACATGCAAAGAGCCATAACAGGACCGTTACAGAGAGTTTTCGCATTGCAGAGCAACTAACAAAGCCTGAACTGTGCCTACAAGTAGTTCATCGAATGTCCTCACGCTGCGGCGTGCGTTGTTCTATTGCCTGACAGGCGGAATCTCTGTTGTCCGACTAAGACGGTCTGTTCGTCCGTCCGGTGCCAGCTAGTTTATCCACTCGACGTCACCCACGTGGCTGATTCACCTGATTATGCTAATTGTCGCATGTGTGTGCCTGGTCGTATTGGTGGACGCTACGGCACCGCATATATCTGATTACGAATGCAGCATACGCTTATCTGAGCCGTTGCATGTTTGTAGGAATGACTCTCACAGCACCCAAAACACAAGCATTGACCTAATGTGCCGCCTCAGGTATAGACAAAAGCATTCCGGCAGGAATGCTGAGGTCATGATAGCGGTAGATAAGGCTACAGTTCAGCCGAGATTTCGTATAACATGCTGAAATGTGAAAGGTTGATACTCTCTCTCTCTCTCGCGCTAATCGGCATTCAGCAGAGTTGTTATACTGATTATCGTGTAGTATCGGTCATTTCAGTCAAGATCGGGTGCCAGCTTTTCAACGAGCTTCGATCTGACCGCTAACAAAATGTATGTACTGTAAAAGGTTGCTACTTAAGTATTATTTGAATGCCTTTAGATAAATCTAAACATACTTTATGGAAAATCTACATGAAAATATTCTTTCTTGTACTCGGTTCGTAGGAAATTACGCCTTCTTTAAAGTAGGGGTACCTTTCGGTTCTAAAAAAAGTTTCTAAATTACCAAATTATTTTTAAACCTAATGACTGCTACGTTTGAAGTCAAGGTTTAAAAGCTGCGCGCCGTTTTCATTCTGTTTAAGAAAAAGTATGTTTTCACCTACGCGTTGATGAAGAAGTCACACAGTTCTCATAAAATATTGCAACAGATTTGGAACATACTGTACACATTATAGGCAGCATTAATAAATTGACGGATGTGATGTATAATTAATGAACACCCCACAATCGTATAAAAGCCGATAAATAGGAAAAAAAATTAAAAGCGAAAGATATTCTTTTTTTTACAACCTTACACAACGCCGAGTAGCGAAAGAGTATCAATCTTTCGCATATGTCAGCACGTTACACAAATCCACGGCCTTACTGTAAGTCCACTTCATGTGAGATATCTTGAGGCTGTCGCATATGCCTGATATACTTGCAGCACAGTACCTTCATGGTAATATAAAGCAGGGCGACAAAAACGCGAGGTGGCTCTTTTGTGATTCAGATTCAATGCTTGACTTCCATTGCGCTTTGAATTATTCCCTGTGACATTAGAGCGTGAGTTGACCAAATAATTTGCCTCGAGGAATTCCTCGTTGGGAAGGATGAAATCAGTTGGTAGATTTAGCTCTGTATGGATGATTAAGTGCAATGTTTTTAGGTCTTCGGCTGTGAAAAATTATAGCATACTGGTATGTCAGAAAGGCAGAAACCGGCGGAGGGCAATTATAACTTCTCACCTTACAGGATGAGGCCTATCTGATGCAAACTGCTGAAATTTACGAAATACCGGGTAATCACTCGCGAACCGAAAACATATCATCCGAACAACTTTCAGCATACTTAAAGCTAAAGGACAATGGTAGAATATTATTCATTTTTTTAAGAAATGCTAACCCTTTTGTGTATATCAAAGCCTCTTAAATAAAATATTTCTCAAAAGCATTTACCAAAGAAACGAATTTGTGGTTATAAGTTCAGATGAAGATTGTCGTTCGAGTCGTAGACTCATTTGGACGTGAAAACATATCGGATAAAGAAATTGATGTCCACAATAAACAGTCGATCTTAACATGCCGAAGTAAAATTAGAAATGTTCTTATAATAAGCCACTCTTTAAAAAGCAATGTCTTATTGGTAAGGACAGGTGGTAGGTATCACAAAATAACTCTAAACCCCAGAGTTATGTTTTACGTTTGCCCAGGAAACTGTGAGGTCCAAGCTATCTGGCAGCCAAGCCGTCTAATAAACGAATTGCAAACTACGAAAAAAACTGTGCTCTACCCAATCTACAGCTAATTTTACAAACTAGATATCCCATTCTGTCAATAATCATTTGCAATCCGAAGGTGGTGGCATTACCCGGGTTGCAGTCGACATACGCCCAAGCAATCACCTATAATCTAGAATAATCAGTAAAGCATTCGATAGTTGCGTTCAGAAATCTATTCGAACATAGCTATAAGAACTGTCATTGCAATTTGCCCATAGTGTAAGGTTGATTGCATTTGGATGCCCCAAGTTTAAGACCTCGTAGCTGGGGAGGACTGGAGTTTAATGGCTGCTGCGCCTACTCCCTAGGTCATTTTGTGAGACTCACCGCTTCGGACAGTCAAACTCTCTCACGAGAGGCTACAGACAAGGACAGAAATTATTAGTTATTATTTATTTAGGCAAAACGGTCTTGCAGAGCTGCCTAAATATCTATTTCCGCGCTCAATTGCCTTACGAAAGTCATAGTAAAACATTCATTTCTTGGTTAACGAGTGTAGATTAATATGTAATTGTGTCGAAAGTGACCAAAACATTTAAAATAAATCCACATATAGTTGTTTTAATTAGCCAAATAGTATCAACTGCATTAACATAAACTCCCGGTGTTCATCTAACTGGTGTCTATTGATGGAAATCTGACCTTTTATCGGCGGAATTTAACGAAAAAAGGAAAGTCGGGTCACTGCTAAATGTAAAATTATGTTATTATTTTAAATCAAAGACGTGTAGGACAGCTAAAGACAGTCTTACAATTATTTCTTTATAATATATAATATGTTACTATATATTTATTTATAATTTACTTGCTTATTTTCAGTACTTAAAATACCATTTTATTAAAATTAGGCAAAATGTCATCCACGGGAATTTGCTTTAATGGGTTCTCTAGTGTACAGAGCATGTTTCTGTATTTTTTAAAACTAATACTCTTAGATGCCTCCTGTGATTTTTTGACGACTTCTGCGTCCTAAAAGCGTTGTACTTTTCGGTGGTCTTTATTTTTGGGAAGACGAAGCCGTGGGAAGTTAGGTCGGGCGCGTAAGGGAGTGCGAAGCCTTTGTGCTACCGCTTTTGGCCACAACTGGTGGATTTAGATAGCTGTGTGGGAAAGAGCATTGTCATGGTGAAAAAATGAGTTACCCAGGTGTCACAGCTCAGGTCGTTCTGTTCCACTGCCTCACGCAAACGCTTTTACACTTGCAGATAGTAAATTTGATCCGCTGTGGTGCTATGATTAAGCCTGAAGGACTTCTTTGATTTTGAAATAAATTAACCATCATGGGCTTCAACTTCGATTTCGTTTGTGGTGCTCTAATTGATGTGAGCGATGAAGCTGTCCTTCGCTGGCTTAACTGTTGTTTTGTTTCATAGATCATAGACCTAACACCAAGATATGTACCATATGATCACTTCTGACAAAAAAGCAGGGTTATTTATGGCTGTTATTTCACTTCCTAGCTCCAACACAGACGCTTTTTCACCGGATGGTGGCACACTGCTCCTTAACTATTTTCTTCACCGGATCGCTTTGACAAATAGTTTATTTTAAATCTTGCGATGGTTTCTTATGAACGTTACTTGGTCAACTAAACACGGAGAGTGGCTCGTAAAACGGGAGAGGACCGCACTGCCGACCCATTTGTCTAGAGAAGATAATTTGTTTTTGAGAACCCTCATAATTGTTCGTAAGCTTTCTCAACGAACTGATCAGTTCCTGCATCCGGTTTCACCCTAGCGGTTCACAGTTCTACCTTTCGTAAATGTTTCTATCTTTATGTCATTAAACATGACCCAAAAAATTAAAGCATTGCTCTTTTGAGTCACTTCTGCTGTTCTGTCATTCTACTCTTCTTTAAGTGTTTAGTGTACCAGTGATAGTTCAACTAACGTAAATGCTCTGCTTTTTCCAAAAGGTGTTTTTCTTTGCAATTTGTATGCACGTTTTTCTTCAGCAAAACCCGCTACTCTCACTGAGGCCAAAGCAACTCACTTGATGTTGCGGTCTGACATACGTTACCATTCGGATAAAATAAAAACAGTTCTTGCCCTATTTCCAGAATTTATTATATGTCGTACTTAAATACGTTCACTTTTATAACAAACATTTATGCCCAACGTTTAAGCCTATATATTACGAGCGCTGCATTATGGACGGATAAAAGTCAGCTGCGCAGCCAACGCTGAGCTACGAGGCTCACCATGCGCCGTGAATTTAATCACACTTGGATAGATTGAACCGCCCAACCTACTGTTCGTATGGAATCCACCAAACCGGATCCAGTAAGCTGAGTGCCCAAGCAGGATGTCCTAATAGAAGGCGGAAGAGCGTTCTCTGGGACCAATATTTTATTCGCCCGACGTTTCGGACTCTCACTCGAGACCATTGTCAAGGAAT